GGCAGAATTCAAATGAACTGGCCATGATGTGCGAAACCTGAATTCACCACCACCTTCAGTAAAATGCTGCACTGGGGTGCAGATATCTTTATAGAACTGGGCCCTCTCTCGAACCTCGAATTCTCAAGCGCGCCGGGCTGAGGCAGGGGCCGCACTGCCCAGCGGAAGCGCAAAGGGAGGCGGCGGGCACTGTGAGGATGTTCGATCGAAACTGAAATTGCAGTTGGCTGTAAACGGTCCTCATTATAAGCATCACATGGGATCAGGTGGTCGACTCGGCGACTGTCGCCTTTTTCAGTGTTCAAAAGTGCTGCAGTGTTTCAGTTCTTTGGAAATGCGGAAAATGAGGTCTGCTTCAGTTCAAATTGAAAAGCTCAGGTCGCCTCAACACCCTGGAGATTCCTGCCTGCAGATTGATCGGCGCCGCCCATCGCGAGTGCCATCGCAGTGTTGATTCGTGACATACAAAAAGACGGGCTTCTTGAGTTCAACGAGCCTCGGATCCCTGAGGCAACCAACAGCATCATCAGATCCGCGGGATTGCGGCGGTGTCCGCTTGAGTTGATGAAGAAATATCGAGCGCTACGACCTCGAAATGCACATCTCTCAAGCACATCTCGTGTATGTATCGCTGTACTGTCGTCCATCCCTTAATACCTGCAGGTATTATGGGCCCCCACTGCTGTGAGGATTAAAGAAACAAATGGACAATTGTGAGGCACACGACGCTTAATGCGGTGCAGGTGAATATAGTGAACATGGTGTTATGTATGGTGAAACAATGCGGAGGTATGGGGAGGTGTGATTTGGGTGCCGTAGTGTATACACTACGGCACCCAATGAATACGTATTCAACCCTTCCGCATCAAACAATTCTACCGTTACGCTTTGTCCTTCGCAATATTTTTCAAAACTTCACTTCTATTTTTTTCGTTGCTCCACAAAATTTTATTGAAAGAACGTTATTATACTAGAGCTGCATATACTACAGTATGCTTGCAGCGCATGGTGATTCGACTGCTGCTCTGATCCTGTAGTCCATCTGGCTGTAGCGCTGCTTCCCGTGTCTGGGAGCGACCGTGTGCGAGCAGTTTTGGGATTTGTCTGAATGTCCACAATTCGATTTCTTTTTATCATCCACCCGTTCATGCAGATGTCTCACATCCCGGTTGGGCGCCCGCGCCTGCCATGGGCGTGGCCAAACTGTACCATTGGAAAGTGGCAACTCTCAATCTGCAGGATTGCCCTGAGCAGCGTGGCTTTCAACTAATCAGCCAATCCGTCAATCAATCAATTGTCGCAAGAAAATAATAGGGATACAGGGAAGCCATCAGATCTCTTTCAACTTCCCCAAACCCAGCATACAAGGAGTTCCAAGAACGTCCCGGTGGAAGACCAATACATACATTGAGGCAACTGCGTGAATTGATATGCGGAAAACAGAACCCAGCCACTTCAAGCTTTCTGATTCGGCGAGGCGAGCCAGTAAAAGACGACGAACAAAGGGAGAACCGCGGGGCTTTCACCCTGAAAGTTGCTGCACCCCATGGACAGCACACCAAGGCGAGGGCCCCTCGCTGACAATGCAAATTCTTCCGCAGCCTGGTTTTGCCTTCCGGGTGTACCAGCCTCCAGGGACTGGCGAGCTTCAGCGTGATTCGCGCAGCGCCAGCCTGCTTCTTCCTCAGTGCGGATCGCGGCCCGCCGGCACAGCAGTGCGTCTCTCGCGACGCCGGCCTGCGCGCCGCCTCGCGGGCGACGCCCCCGACGCCGCAATCCCAAGGAGCTGCACCCGAGGCAGCAACCGAACGCCCGCGCGTCACACCGTCAGTCCGCCCCCGCTGCCCGGCGACGGCGCCCAGAGCCTGCGCGGAAGCTTCCCGCAGGCTGCCCGCGGCTTTTGATCGCGGCGCGCCGCTGTAAACTCTGCCGCGTCGAACGACGAGAACGGATATCCGCCGGCCGCGCGAGCCCCTCCTCTAGCCGCCCTGAGTTGGTGAGCGCGGCCGGTCCAGCCCCCGTCCCCACCCCCACCCCCCACCCCACCCCCGCGTCCCGCAGCCCCTTCGAGCGTCGCCGTGCGAAACCTACTCTGGCTCCGTCGGCGTTGCCGCGCCTTGGCCCTCCCGACGTCCGGGGACGTCGGGAAGCGCCGGGCGCCCCAGACCTCGACGCGGTGGCGCTAAACAGCCTCACGCGCCCCACAAACCACAATGTTTGCGTAGCTCAGCCACAAACCACAAACATAGGCGCACCTTGCTCCCCATTCGGCACCTCGTGCCGCAGGGCTCCGTGGGACTACGAGGGCCGGCCAGCCCTCCGCGTCCCTCCCGCCGCTCCCGGCGTCCCACGCAGCCCGCCCGGTCTCCCGCGAGGGCTCCGTGTAGCGCCGGAATGACCCGACAGACGTCGGAAGGGGGGAGGCTATGGGGGGCAGCGGGCGCCGCGCCGAGAGGCCAGCGCGCGTTTTCCGCGGCCCGGCCGTCGGGACTGCACGCAGTTGTGGGGCGAACCCGGCGGCGGGCCCCGCGCGGGACGCGCCTTCTATTGGGTTCGCCGAGGGTTCTCCAAACTAGGAAGTGCATCGGTCGATCAGCCGAGTTATCGAGAGCGGTGCATATCAAGGCTAGGACGCAGCCGCGGGCTATCTGTGTTGCCAAAAAATAGGCCACCATGGTTTGTTGAAAATTTAAAGCAAAGCGCGAATCCTAAACCGCCGCCCTTTCAGTCAAAGGTGCCGGTCCCAGTCTCTCTTCGTATTGCGATGCACTGATGAATTCATTCACTGGAAGGTGCCGTTCACTTAGCGCTCATCAAGCCCCATTAAGGCAAAAGTGCAATACGGGAATTTGCACAATGCTCCTGAGCATTGCAGGCAATAGTACATTTCACACTCGCCTGGTGGTCACATGCACATAGCCTCACCATCTGCACGTGTGTGATCACACATTGCTGCAGCGCAAATTGCTGGTCACATGGATGTGACTTCCTGACATCGTCACTGAATTCCATTATTCTGACTCGCCTTAAAAAAACAAAGCAGCATTAACATGGACATTGATATTCCATGTCAATATCAATATCGACATCGATTCAAAATCGGTATTGATGTAGCACAGATCCGGATCCGCATAGCACTGCAGATCCCTGGCCAAATTGCCACGGATTGAACCAGCGGAAAGGGCATGACACATCGCTCTGTAGCTTCAACATGCCATTTCGTTGCTAATTTTTAACGCCAGCTCGCGGCAAACAATCCCAAATTCAGCAATTGACATAGTGGATTGGTGCTTAATGTGGAAAACATTGTGGTCAACGTCAAGGGCGCATTGTTGACAGATCAGCACTTACTTGGGATACACAAACTATCGCATCACGGGTAATAGATTAGGTGCCATTCCAGCTGTGTTAGGGGCTGATGGAACTTGCGATATCGTAAATGCAAATAACATTGTGGAGCCAGGGAGAAAACTGCCAACACATAAATTTCGTTGCTCAGGCGGTTAATCCCATGTGCAGGCGCAGCGTTTTAGGAAACTTGCGCATTTCCTTGCACGTGTTTCAGATGCGGCATAGGAACAGTACGGGCTGAGTATTGTGGACTTAACCCCCCCAAAACATAAAAGCGTGTGTCACAGCACCACCGCAATTTGTAGAATAGCCATATGGGAGACTTATGGAAATGTGGCCGGCGCTTTGCTCAGCCCATATTGTGGATGCAGCCCTCATTTAGGAACGGCACAAAGATATGGACAAGACGGGGCCGCGTCTTTTTCAGGCGCCGTACTTCAAAGACGGCAGGAAGGGGCACCTGCCCACCTTGCAATTTTGGCGCGCACAGCGAAAGTCCGTATTGACAACACGGTCTATCTTTTGGACAGCGCAAAAATTCCGGTCACAAGCGAACTCCCGCATACATGCTAACTACATAGTTAAGAGGACGTCCCTCATTTTCAGGCCAGATGCCGTCGTGCGGTGTCCGGAACTACGGGCGATGCCACTGGGTCCTCGGAGCGACGACTATCGCAGCTGGCCGGACAGGGTGGTGTAGGCTCTTGGACGTGGACCAACGATAACACATCAAGCGGATGTTCCCGGTGGGGTGTGTGCCCAGTACCGGTATGCCCATTAATGGGGGACATGTTGCCCTGTGCTCTTGTATCATTCAATTATTCTTCAACACAAAGCTGGCCACCCGCCATGTTGGCATGGCCAGCGCCGCCAATCGCACGATTTGGCTGTGCCCCGTTGAGTGGCTTCACGGCGCAATCAAGCCGTCACTGATGGAGTGATCAGGAACACCCCCAACCCTCGTCGTCATCGATTCGCATGTTGCCCATCGAGGATCCGGCGCATACGTTGGATTCCAAATCGAGCTTTCAATCCGCTGTGATTGGTGTTTCCTGGCGCGAAGATTTGGGCCCACGCGACCAGAAGCGAGTGAACCAAAATCATGTTCTGTACATTGGGCATCCTCAAACAATCATAATGTTCCGCTACTTACGCGAACGGGTGCACATCTGGACCCCCGAAAGATGTGCCCACGAATCCTGAACCAATTGCCGTTCCCTGAATTCATTCCTACATCCGATCAGGACGGCAATACGTCTCCTAGGAACCGACCCCCCTCCCACTTCCCTCGCATCGGATCCAGCTCTCATCAGTCTGTCGAAATTTCCTCACACAGGCTGCCCCATGGAAACAAGGAGACAGCCTGACCGGATCGTGCATCCAATGGCCATCACAAGGGCCCACAAGGGCCACGTTCCCATGCAATGCTTCCCCGCATCCCTCAATGCCACTTCCGTTAGGCCGCTGAGACGGTGGCGGCTGCCAGTGGGCGCACGACGGACTCTGTCATCCGCTTCGAACGCGAGCCGGCGGTTGTTGCCCTGGCCTCGGGAGATGCGGCGAGCTGTGGCAAACACTAATTCAGACAAAGATGCGGCTGGCCGCCATTCAACAGCATGAGCGGCAACGCCTCTGATCCAAAACGTGCTTCAGATGCCGTGTTTGAAGAGTTCGCGGCCGATGAGGAGTCTCCTTATCTCGCTGGTCCCCGCACCGATCTCGTAAAGTTTCGCGTCACGCAGAATCCTGCCAGTGGGGTAATCGTTGATGTAACCGTTGCCGCCCAGGACCTGGGGCGCAAATCACACAAGATGAGCACACATTGGCCAGAACTTGCCCAAGCACGACAGATTGCGCTTCCAATGCCACTTTCACCTGCAACCGCAGTCGAGGCGCTTCGCTCAAGCACTTGCTGCATTTAATGACAACCTGGCTGTCGATGGTTGGGCCTGTCCCACTTGGTATAACGATGCTCAACACCAGTAAAGCCATCACATCATCTTTGAGGGCATGCTCACTATGTGTGTTTTTTCTAACGATATTTTCAAGGTTTCAACAAACCAACCGGTGCAGTTGCAACAGGAACAAATGGTGAATGCCTACGTCAGAGATCTGCTGTGAGAGAGCCGTGCGAAGACCTGGCGGGGCACTGAGCGAGGGAGGAGGCCTACCTGTATGGCGTCCAACGCCATTCTGGTCGCGTGCTCCGCTGTGTACAGGATGACGGACGCACAGTCTTTCCTATCCGGCCCCTTCTCGTCGGTGTCGCGGGCAACCTGGCGCACATACGCCTGGGACGCCCGCGTGACCGAGTACATGTCCGCAAGCTTGGCCTGGATCAGCTGTGCGGCAGACAGGTCGCGCTCAGTCTGGCAGAACGGCAGAGTGCCTCACAGTGGAGACAACGGGGCGCAAACGTGGTAAAGGTGGCGTGTTCGGTGTTTCGGTGTCGAGCACAGCTACGATTTTGGCAATTCAGCATTCAGTCAAAGGTGGACTGAAACTGCGGGAAACGAAATTCATGCCGATGACAGGCGTACATTGCACATGCGCAGATGCATATGCACCACACAACCACAACGAGCGCTTGATGGAACTCGAAAACCACAGGCGCAGCATGTGACAAACATTGAGTTCCCTTGTTCCTACTTCTAGTCCACTCCTTATTCATATACCTGCTCCTATTCGTATTTGTGTCCGTGCTAGCATTTGCATTCGAGTGGTGTTCGTAGGATATCAATGTTTACATTTTCCAGATTCCCAAGCTTTTTGGTTAAGACGTTCAGGTGTTCGCATCGCTCTGCACTTTCTTGTCATGTGACACGAGGTTTGCATCTCTCCTGCCAGGATGGCGGCGGCGCACGGGCCTCACAGTGTGGTGCAAAAATCCGGAATGAGAACGGCAGCCACGTGCTGCTGCATCTTAATGGCAGGCATCTGGTGTCATCAATGCAAAAAATGTCCCTGGAGTGAGATCTGGGGGCCCCACCTGAAACTCCCCTATCTTCTTTCCAAATTGCTCCCTCTGCTGCGCATAGGGCACCACAATGTCCACGCACGCCCACATGAGGCCAACAGGGCCGGCGGCCAGCACCAACCGCTCGTAGTCAAGTCCGCTCATGAGGACGTACACTCCTTTATTCACTTCCCCTAACACGTTCTCTAGCGGGACCTGCATCAACCACGGACGAGCTGGAACCCGGAACAGCACATGATGTTGACTTTCACAGCCACGATCCGACCTCACCGTCGCAAAACACTGTATAACCCTTCCGCATAGCAACATGGCACCTTGGCAATTCTTTTGCGGAGAAAAGATTTGAATAAAGAACGTTCTTTTAATACAACTTCTGTTAAGCAACGTACAAGCAATAGAAACAACGCTGTGCAAAAAAAAGATGAGCAAAAAAGCGTAACGATAAAACTGTTTGATGCCGCATCAAACAGTGGACCTTCCGCAGCGGAAGGGTTGAATATACTACGGCTGCCCCAAAACTGTACGCCCACAAGATTCAAGCACCAAAGCGCACGTTTCACTCAACCAGGTGAGACGTTCATGTGGCTGGTCCTTGCATTCAGCCCTGTTGTAATGGCAACAGGTGCATGGAGCGCGCCGAGCTGCCCGGCGTCGCCATGCGCATGATCGGGAACCGAACCAAGAAATTTCGGCGTGGAACAATTGCCAAATCAGTGCTCATCAAATCGCGCGGTGAGGGGCTCAGATGGTTGTCCCATCTTGGGCTGTGGATGGTCAAATGTCATTGGGCAGGCCATCGAGCATACAACAGCCACCGGCTGCCATTCGAGACTGGCAATTCCGCATCACAATTCAGAGCGGCTGCAGACGCCTGGGCAAGGAGGGTCAGAGGGACGAACTTTGCAGTTTTCGAAGACGAGCTCGCAGGTGTCGCTCCCTCTCATGCCCAATTTGTCGAGCTTCTGTGCCGTTGTGAAGCCCGGCATTCCCTTCTCGACTATGAAGGCGGTGATGCCGTGAGAGTGGGCCCCTGTGTCTGTCTTGGCGTACACTACCAGTGTGTCCGCCTGCGGGTTGCAGCCGCAGAGTGAGGTGTTGCTGCTGCAATCAACATGGCCACCTCTTCACAGCATTCATTCTCAACAACAGGGTGATTTGACTGAGAAGCCGGGAACAGAAATTTTGAATGAGGAACTGCAGATAGCCACCCATTATTGAAGTTTGACATCTAGACACCGTCGTGCCGACTCCTGGCCTCGTTACTCTAATCTCTGTCCATAACAATGATATAGGAATGGATGGATCAGCACAGTCGCATGCAATCTTTTCAGCTTCTACTACAGGTGTACCACGTCATTGTATAGATGCATCCGCTCGCCAGGTTTGACAGGCAATATTCATGCACCTGGGTGCGTTATGTCTTCTCCTGTTCGCAGCCAGCACGCCAGCACCAGATTCTGCCATGTACATGGGTGGTGCATGCGACATTCAGGAATCTTGTTGCAGACTAGCAATGGCAGCAGGCTGAACGACACAACTCAATGTTCCGGACTGGTTGTCATTATGACAACTTACAACTGTGCCATTTGTGCACCACATCTTTGAGCCATTGAGGACGAAGTGGTCTCCATCCCTGTCTGCCCTTGTTCTCATGCTGACTACATCTGACCCCGATCCAGGCTCGCTCATCGCCAACGCTCCGATGTGGTCGCCTGCAAGGTATTGCAACAAGAGTGATGTGAATAGCATGGGAGGGTGTGTCATAAATGTCTGCACTAATTTGAGCACTCATGCACTCAGTTCTGTGATGCAAACTTTGAAAAAGGTACTGAAACAGAAGTGCAGTAAATATAGTTTGGTATGGAAGCGCCTGAAACAGGCACATAGTGGATGAGTTGAAGATGCCTTTTTCTGCCAAAGGCCTCCTCCTTCCCACCCCCCTAAACACCCACATGCATTTCAAGTTGCAGCCAGCCACTTGGAAATCTTGGAGGCATGCATCCACTCTATCGCCATACTTCTGCCGATTTACAGATTATATCCAATTGCGCACAGACATTGGGCATTCTCCAAGCTTGCCTGATATTAATTTGGGGAGATACTTTCGGGCCTGAACGTCGTTGCACCACCGCACCAGCTGTCCCACACACAAATTGCTATGGGCGCCGTAACTCAGAGCCACGGATCCTGAGGCTCTGCTCAACTCCTGCGAGACGCAGCCAGACCCCATTGTCTCTTCGAGCGCAGCCCCAGGGAGCAAATCCCAATGTGCAGCACAAGGAGTGAGAAGAAAACTGCACAAGTGAAAGAAACAACAAGAGTGGGAGTTCTGACCTGCATTGCGACGCACTGGTGCTCGTAGCCGAGCCCCAAGCCTCCCAAGCCGACGGGGGCCGTCACGCCTGGCAGCAGCAGGGTGTCAATCAGTGCCACGAAGAACAAATCAAGAAGAGAAAAAACAAAATCGCACGAAATGGGCGCCCATTCCTGACCCATGGGGGAGACTCAATGGTGTTCGTGGACACAGCAAGAGTTGCCCTAGAGTTTCATCGCCAAGGGCGTCTCGACGAGTCGTCGATCTCAAGATAGGGCACGCGCGTGTTTCGAATGCAAGAAAAAGCAGGCAGCAACGCTCGGCCACGCATGGCGTTCTCACGGACGAACATTCCCTATCGAGAGGATCATTAACCAGTCAACGAAGGTCCACCAACGTCAGCGGGTGGCGAAAGAGCGTCCAACGATGCGCGCGATGGTCGCTGCCCCGCGATCGCGCGGCGTCCCCTCTATCAAGGCAAGCTCGGCAGCGCGGAAAGAATACACCGGATGCTGGCCCGGTCGGCTCGCCTCCCGCCCGTCGGGGCGATTCGACCTGTCGGTCCGTCCGATGGTTGGAACGCGGCCCATCCCGCCCACCGTGCAGCCCGAACTCGCCCATGGCCCTCCACAGGTCGACGTCTCTTGGGAAGGCATTGGCCCTGTCAACGGCCTCCGCGTGGGGAGCCACGCTGCGCCGCGCGAAGTCCCTCACTTGCTGCCGGAATTCCTCCACGCCAGCGCCCCACTCGCCCTGGGCCTGCACCTCCGCGTGCAGGCGCGCCAGGCCAACCGCCGTGCCAATCGCATCGCGGCGGGGCCAGGCGCGGCCGCTGATGCGGAGCAGACCCCTCAGCGCGTCCATCGACGGGTACCGGCGGGGATGCCTGGCTCCGGGGTTGGGGAGCGGAGGGAGTGGAGGGGAGCTGGCCGCGCGGGTGTTGCGCCTGTTCCTTGCGGGCCCGCGGCGTCAAGCCGTTGGCAGTGACCGCTGGGCGCGGCTAACGTGGGGCCGACGCCTCCCCCACATGCGTCCGAGTCACACTCGCCCCTCGCCAAATGACCCCAAATGGCCCAATTCTCCTCCCCTTGCCCACGCGTGCACGCAGACTAGCGTCGCAATTCTGGCACAATTCTGGCACGATCTTCGGGGCCCGTCCCTCGTCTCCTCCGTCTCGTCTCGCCTCGTCGTCGCTCGTCGTCTCCGTCGTCCGTCGTCGGGGCCAAACGACCCTCGGCGGCCGCCCTGAGGGCACTCCCCTTCTCTCCTGAAGGCCGGTGGTGATCTGCCATGGCGGCGCCCTATGAGGCTGACCACCTGTGGTGGACGGGCATCGCGTCCCTGTGCAGCAGGCTGCGGTCGCCCGCCGGCCGCAAGGCCGCCCTGGCCAAGCTGCGGGACGGCCTGCTCATGGAGAGCTCCGGATTCTTCCGGCCGCCGTCGGACAAGTCCAGGGCCGCGGTGGAGGGGCAGACGGCCGTGCGGCTCAACGGGCGGGACAGGCAATTCGACCCGACGACCGGGAGGTCGGCGCTACAGATCAGCGAGTGCCTGGTGGGGATGGTTTGAACCCGGCCGTTAAAAATAAACAAAAACGCGCATGACAAAAAGTACGTTCTCGTGGATGTGGATAGCATGTGGCTAAACACGGATAGGTGCCGGGAGGGTTGTGCCTCCAATTGTGTTTTGCCTGTTTTGCGATTGTTTCTTGCGATGTGTTCTGCGATTGTTTCTTCCAATTGTATTTTGCGGGTAGATGTGGCCGCCTAGAGGTCATGTCGGCCACCGAAGGGGCGCGGCGCTTGGGCCAGTCCTCGTTGTTGTTGTTGTTGATCTGATTGCGTGGAGTGTCGATGTGGGGGTTGGCCTGCGGTCCCGACCCGACGAATCTCCTGGTGTGTGCGCAAATTCCAAACTCATCCCATGAGAGGAGCCAGTCCACTGTGGTGACCGGGTTTAATGGGTGCGGCTGCTCTGTGCCGTTGATTGGGCCGCGGTTTCGTGTATGGAGTAGGGCCACATTGCTTCAGTCCACTGCCATCAATGCATTCCAGCAGCTCGCGAGAAGCTGGGATGTTTGGAGAATTTGAAGACAGGCTAGATCAGAAATATGAGGTGGTTTATGATCATCGGATTGTGTGGAGGATTTCTGAAGCCATCCATACCACGATTACCATTCCTTCGATGGGGTCGGAGTGATTCCCTTGATGACTTGAAGAAAGTCGCCTTTGCACTGAAAGAGTGGGGAATAAGGTGTCCATTGTCAAACAATTGAAGTGTCCCTGATCATGATCGTGAATGGAAGTATGTGAGTTCTTTACGAGAATGGGGCAACCGGGGGGAAGGGTACATGACGTTGAATAGAAGAAATGTGACCAGCTTGGCCGCCAATTTGCTGTGGATAATATTCAAGGATTAACAAACAGCGTATTTGAGGTATCATCGTTGCATTGTTTGTTGAGCAGCTTTACTTTTGCAGAAATTTGGGGCTAATTTTAGGGACAGTTTTGGGGCTTTTATTGTTTAGGGAAAGAATGCAATTCTGCAGGTATCTGGGAAATTGGTACTGAGATTTTGTGTGACTGCTAGAATCTTGACGAGGTTCAGTCATACTGCCTATTGAAACAATGGATGAAGCAGGAGCGTTTGGAGGGTAGTATGGGGCCGCCCACAGCAGAGCAGCTCCTACAGGTGCTGATGTGTCAATGACGATACACTCGTCGAAATTGTCTTTCAACAGTGAAGAAAATACGGTATCGGACGCCCCTCCCGGCCAAGATACTATAGACTCTGTTTCAAAGCTAATACAGAATTGCAAGTGCCAACAGAAAGGGCACACAAAAGGATAAAAACAAATATTTCCACAAGTATGCCTCAACAAGGTAGCACATAATGGACACGGCAACAATTCCCATGCACATCAACGCATGTCCACATGACTCACACAGCTGGTGCACATGCCTCAACATGCTTGCCTGGCAGCTTACCAGTTCAATCGCAAACGCCAAGGTCAATGGATTTTCTTCAGAAAGGCCTTGTGAGGGGCCAGGACAGGACATCCTTCCAGGCATATATGCAACTAGAACAGTGCCTTTGTCAAATCTCATTATCACACCAGCGCATTATGTTCTGTGTTGTGCATAGTGCATGGATTTGACTGTAATTGCTGCAGAAGCACCTCCAACCACCAGCATTCGCCTGTCAGTCCAGTTGGCAAGTGGGGGGCTGCGGTTCAGTCATTTTACAAATGCCGCTGTTGCAGGAAATTTAAAGCTACACAGAGAACGTACAGGCCCAATCTGAGCACTTGTCCTGACTGACATTAGCGCATATTAGTTATATTTATGGGCAGAAACTGTGTGGCACTTCTCACAAATGAGAAGCCTTCATGTGGAATGTTGTGACAACATGAGAAGCAGTACTGTTTTGATCTTGTTGACCACTGTTGTTGCAGTTCATCCCCTTGCAGGCAAAAGGGGAATTTCCACAACATGAGGACTTGTGCCCGATTGCTCTGTATGCTCGCATTGTCAGTTGACACTGAAAAATACTAACAACCTGCCCTGTGGCACAGATCAGGAAATTGTACCTCAGAGAGCGGCTCAGTCTTCTGCAAGCGACGGTGTATTTGCTCAGGATAAGATTTGGTAAGGTCTGGCCCCCAGAAACAGAGTCAATGAACATTCAAAGTTGAAAAGAAGAATAGAATTGAAAGCTATGCAGTTGGGCAGCTGAAAGGCAGGTGTTAAGGCATATGATTGACCGAGCTGGCTATGCTATGGGACAGAGGCTCAATGCCAGCACGGCGGTACAGCAAACGGTGTTGGTGATGCAGCCGCTGCCACGTCCTTCCCTGTTGAAACATTGTTTCAGATGTTCGAATCGGATCTTGAGCATCCAGGATACTGTTTGCAGACGCAAGAGGTTTCTGGTTTGATATGATTCTCCACACATGCAAAGCACTGCTATTGCACTTGCTGAACCACAGCTTCCCAACAAAGAATCACATACGCAACAATGATTGCCTGCCTAGCTTCCCAATTGGCAGCCACCTGATGCACCCTGTTGCACCACCAGCTCTTCGACCGCAATCTGGTTGGTAGCAGTCAAGGTACCTGAAGCGCATATGCATGTACTGTTCTGTGTGATACCCCAACAGCTGCAGCATGCGACATTCGGCCAGATTTGAGCGTCGCTGCACATGTACTGGACATGTAAGGACCGTCATCTCAGTTCCTTGACTTGGCCCTGCTCATGGATCCTGCAGAAGATGAGCCTGTGGATGATGATATCCGGGAGGCTGTCAAGGACAAAATCGACCGGCTTCTGGACAGCGGCCTGGAGAGCAAGCTGTTCTCTGTTCTAGAGGATCAGCTGTCCTACCCAGATTCCCTGCTTCGATGGGACCCAAGTGCTGTGGATCGCCCGCTATCGGCTGTGAGTGCCCTTGCCTAGCCACCCACGAGCACACACACATATCTATATTTTCTTGAGATTCTTTCATTTAGGCCCTCACAATATGCTGTTTCTCTTTCTGCCTGCAGTGCTCAAAAGCACTGAAAAATGGTAATGCATTCTTGAATGTTGGGGTGCTTTTGAGATACTGAAGCTCTCAGTTTGTCAAACTCATCTTGATACACACACACACATCTTCACCCCAATCAAGGACAAAAGAGGAACTGCTCACAAGGCAAATTCATCATCCAAAAGTGTTTTTGCTGTCTCTCAATCTCCAACATCCTGATGTGCAACTGGGTGTTGTGTGCACCCCTCACAAAATTTCTGCAGATTTGGCTTGTGCAAGGCAAGAGACTCAATGGTTGCGCAGAAATTCTTACTTTTTGCAGAAATATCAAGTCGGATGCAAAAGCGCATTCTCCCTTATTTCTGCCTATTGGTAAGTTTCCTTGATAACGTTTCAACAGAAAGAATAATCAAATGTGCATACAGTAGTAACATGAGAGCCTCTGTTCATGAATGAGCGCCTCTGCTTATATGGAAGACTGGGAGGTATGTATCTTGCGTGTTAAGGATACTGTCCATTGCAAATGGCTGATGTTCCTGTCTTTTGAAAATTCTCCAACCCTCGAAGCTATCTGAATGGAAATTGAGGGTAAATGTCACAAGCAGACTGTTTGCTCCCCAAAGTGCCACCCTAGACTTACCTGTCACTTGAATGCAGTTGCTAATCATGCTCTTTTCACGTCCCCACCTGCGGTAAGGGCACTACCCTTGACCCCCCATGGCTTTCGCATACATGCCTCATTCCTTGCAAAATCACAAGAAAAACTGTTGTCCTTTCCATCGAGCATCAGATGACCATGGCAAAATGTTTAGACAAGATGTTGGGTCCAGAGAATATGCCAATGGCGTTGTCCCAGTGACTAATAACTGCAACATCAAAGCAGTGGACAGCACAAAAGTGGTCCCAGCAGCAGCCACTAGCAGATGACTGCCACCATCACAAATAGCTGCTGCAGGCACTGCAAAGTTCAGATGGTATTTTGCTGCTTAATGAAATTTTTATTGTCCAAGTTTGCTATTGTACCTGCCAGGGTAATGTCGAGATTTCTCTTCTGTTGAAGCTCCTGTTCCTGCTATACTCACACGCGAGCCCCCCATGCTCTCGGGTGGTGAAGGTGCTGCAACTGCTGAGAACGAGCAACGTCTTCACACAGATTGAGGAGGACGGGCCAGAGAAACTGACTATGGTGTGCAGACCACCTGCATCTGAGTGTCTGTTTGTGCAGGGGGGACGTGTGTGCCCCCTGCGATGGCAATGGCTAGGTGACACAAACAGTCAGGTGGATCATGGCGGCAGCTGTGCCAAAGCAGCGTCTGCAACAGTCAAGCGCCTTTTGTGGTTTTGCAACGTTGCTTGCAAAAGAGTGTTGAGTTTTACCAGCTCCTTGCAGCACATTGGCAACCTGCAGGCAAGGTTTTAGCTAACTGTCAGGGAGTTTCAGCTGTGGCAGTAGTATTTGGTTCTTTCACAGGAACTGAGAGCTCGATGCAGCTAACCCTGAAAGTTGCCCACTCAGTGCTTCTTTCTGACTTGCAGGCCTTTCTTGTTGTTGTGGGGCTGTTCGACTTCAATGGGCTGCTGCAGAGATCGGCTGCTGGGGATGGACACAACCAAGTGGCTCTGACAGCAGAGTCCATGCAGGAGTTGGACGCCGAGGTGGAGTTATGGTGGCACAAGGGGACAGAACTCTCAGAAATGGTGATTCTGGCTTGGATTGTCTTCTCCTTTTTCCATGGCAAAACGGGAGAAGGTGGGTACATGCAGGCCTTGCTTTCAACTGAATGCTGGTGCTGTTGCTCGTGTTGACTTGGCACTCAATCCCGTGACTGTGGCTGGTGATCATCTGCAAGCTGACTTGGGCCCCACGATACCCCACCCCAGGGGACGGCTGATCATTGGACTGCAGCAGTCGTACACTGTGCTATGATGACCCTGATGCACTGTATCATTTGTAACCTCAGAGTAATTGTGAATTGACGTCAGACAGTCCAAGTTGTGACATACCATAGGCACCCATCAAACGTCATTCTGCAAATCAGGCACCAATGCCAGGTAGACAGATTTCGCCAAAAGACACAAAATTGGTAATGGCAGGAAGGATGTCCAAAGGTTTGGCTCACATGTTGCAGCAGTTTGTCAGTGATAAGGAACTCAGTCGTTGAGCAACAGGCAGGGCAACTGAAAGGTGTCTGCATTTCACACTGTCTTGTTCTCAACATTGCCAGAGGTTGTGGCCCCATTGTGCAGTACTGCAGGCATTGGGCCAAGCACTTTGGGCTTTGACTTTTGGCTTTGACTTGTCTCGTTGGGCAGGTTCCATTAATTTTCAGAAGCATTGTGAAGTGTTGAACCAGCGAATCGCAATGGATGCGCTGGAGTGCATCGCCGGATCTGTTGCCAAGGACGATTGTGGGGTTGCCCGGGCAGCCATGATGCAGTTCGTTTCAGGCCTGCTGGGTTTTGGGCAGCGGTCGATGGGGCATGCCTTGACATCAACTGTTGCCACTCTTCTTGAAGGTGAACTGGCTGCCCATCTATTGAGCACTGTTGCGGTCCCAATATTGCACAGCAAATGTGGGCCTCAGACATTTCTGAACGTCTGTAGCAACTTGAGATCATCCTGTGTTTTGCTGGCTCAGCGGATTGCAGATAATCTTGCTAATTGGGCCAGTCAGTTTCAAGATTTTACAAGCAGCACTTCATGGACAATGTGTGAACGGACAGCTAGTTGCACTTGCTGCACCAGACTATTCAAAATTAGATGGAATCGGCATTGCCTTGATTCATGTACCTCCAAAAGCAGAGATTTTGCATAGTACAGCTCGAATCTCACGATGTTTGGTTGATCATGAACACAGACCTCATGCCAATTCGAAGTTGTGCAATGCTCATGAACAACGCTCACAGCCAACGCTACACAGGAATGTCAACATAAACAACACTGTGCATTCTATTTTGCACAGTGGTGCTTGTCACAGCAGCTGCCTTGACACAGGTGTGGGCATGTCACTCCTGCAACGGCTACACTGCAGCCTCTTGTATCTACCCCTTGCCAGCTTCCTTGTTGATCGCAACACACCATTGAACAGGCACAAGTGCATAGACATGGGTTTTGTGCGAACCTGTTGCACTGACAGTGCAGATATTGCATGCCCCAGTGGCTTGCAAAGAGTGGCACCATGCTCTCTACCAACCTGAGTTGATGCGCAGCATCGATACACTACTGATTGGCTCTCCAGACTGTCGACCCGCCTCCGCAACTGTTAGCTTATGTTGCATACGAGTTCAATCAATGCAAGATTTTGCCTTTCAGAATCCGGCTGTCCGTGGATTTTCTTTGCAAACTGTCAAGTTCCTTGTTGTTGTCTTGCTTCCACAAAATGGGACAGCTGGGTGTATTCTCTCTGGACATGCTGCCTTGACACGTCCTTGGTTTCTCCTTGTATATTTTACTGCATCTTTGGTAGTATCATTTGTTTCTATATATACTATATTCTCCCCCATGTTGCCTGGAGGTGTTCTTGCTACAGGCCGCTTGTTGCTGATAGGCCAGCCGGGTTCGCACCTCGTTGATGTTCAGCGTCCTCAGCAAACAGGTAGCTCCAACTATAGAAGTGCAAAAAGCATCTTTGGTCCTTTGTCTTGCTGATGGTGCACATTGATTGTGTGCAGACGACTCTGCACTATGGGCTGCTGTGTGGGGCATGCAGGAGCTGGCCCCTGTGAAGCACATGGTGGAGGATGCCCTGGCCATTGCACCAGCCTTTGTGGGCCCCGCCTCGTTGCTGCTGTCGGCCCTCTGCTCAAGCGAAGACTCCGCACAGGGTGTGTGGAGGATGATCAGCGACCAGCCCTGCACTGCACTGCTGCATCGCAAGAGCCACCCCAACCTCAGGATGGACAGGGATGGATGCACCTTTCGGACCTTGGGTCCTGTAGAAGCAGTGGATGGCTCGGGGCTGACAGCACCAGCGGTACGACGGGTGGTAGAAGGGCCATGGAGGAAGAGATGTGTAATGCTTATGTGATTGTCCTGCACGGCACAGTCTGCTGCTTATGAGTGGGTGCCTAGCAGACAGTGTGCTGATTCCGATGTTGTTGCCTATCATATGTGGTGGGGTGCTGCCATAGGAGAGCACGTTGTCCATGGCCATGCTATCGGATCTGATCCATTTCCCTGACAATGGAGCCAACAGTGTCCACATGGGCCCACTAAGCAGCCCGCATTGAAAAGAGAGGTGCCCTCCTGGGCTTGTTTAAAGGCAATTCCTCGTTGTCTGCACAGTGGAGAAATCCAAGATGCCAGACTGGCAATGTGCTGCTGTTGCTGTTGACGCTTGCCATGCTTATGGGGACCAGGAATTCGAGGGCCAGCTTCAGATTCCCAGGCACTGTGGCAATGTGAAGCCTATATTGTACCTCCTGATCACAAGATTCTGTCCATTTCATGGCACATTCAGCATGAATCCGATTTGACAGCCCTTGCCAATCTATCTGGTTATGCTGTGCACTGATCCTGCCCATGGGTTTGTTTCCAAAGCATTTTGTTTCAGCATCTCGTGAGTAAAGCGTTGACAAGGACAGCAGAGTACGGTAAGGGATTTCTTGTGGTGTCTCTTGCTCCCTGCAGGACTGTGTTGGAGCGCAACATCCACTGCCCCCTTTCGCCCAGGATCAGCAAGATGTGGTCCTAATCAAGTGGAGGACATCCTGTAGCATGGCGGGCCTTCTGCTCCAGCAAGTCTGGCACTGCTGCAACAGTCTGCAGAAGGGGCCGAGTGCGACCAGGCGTCGCTGTTTTCTTGAGAGGCTGCTGCGCATCATGCATCTCTTCTCCAGGCGAGTGGGGGCCGGCAGGCCTGGTGCTGCCTGCTAATCCAGAGTCAGGAATCTGAAGGCAGTGGCCAAGACGCAATCTGAACAAAATTCGTGTATTACTAACCTTGCTCTTGCAAAATAAATTGTTTGACATATTCGTATACAGCTCATTGTGGGACTGTATTTGGGGCATAGCTGCGTTCCCCCAGGCCAGTTGTGAACACTATGCACTTCTTTTGAATGCTCATGCTGCCCACTGGTACAGCAGCTGCATCAATGTTGCTACATGGTTTATTGTGCCTCCGATGCACCAGTCCTTCGCACGATTGAATGTAGGGACTGTACCTCAAGGAAACATTGCATGGCCTATCATTGCTTCTAAGAGTCGCTTTGCAAAAAAACTGGTTGTCCTTGCATCTGGAAGAAGCCCCTTTTGCTGCAAAATGTGTCAGCAGCGCTGGTGCAATTCCTCATCTGTTGCATTTCCCAAAGATATTGCAGAGCACTGCCCTTGCCAGATAATTGCATGTTACCATCTGTGGTTTTCCATTCTGAAAATGTCTGTTGATTGCCATTGGAAAAGAGCACAACTGTGAGCACTGCTGGTTCATCGTCCTGGCTTCTGTGCTGCAATAGCAAGCCCTCATTCAGCCTGCCTGTGCATTGTTTCCTCATGCACACCATCATCTGCAACATCTGAGAACGATGGCTTTCCAGGGTGTGGAAAGTGGATTACCCTAACATATTTTGTATATTGTCCACCAGGATGCTGATGTGTGGTGGTGTCGCATTTGAGGAGGTTTCATCAGATTGCCATGCCAACACACAGATGGATTTCATCGAGCTTGTCTGCAAAGCTATGGATGAGATGGTGGCAAACTTCCATCCAGAGCTGCCTGTGCAGCAAGGATTCGCTGACAGCCTGACGATTCTCCGGTCGGCTGTGGGAATGGCTCCAACGCGGGTGCTGGATGCGATCACAGCATCGAGACTGCTCGCACCAAAGGCCACTGATGTGCACTCAGGTGCTTGCAAAGTGGCGGAATCGATGGGCGGGATGGATAGACCAGGCAGTTTAACATGGAAGGCATCTGCATATGGTTTGAGCACACCTTTAGTTGACTGCGTGACTTTGCCTCCTTGGAAGGTTATAATGGCCATAAAGTTTTGTGACACACTGTCATTGTCAGTTCCTTCTGATTCTGAAGTCCGAATTCAAAACCCTATCCAACCAGCGATGAAGTTGTGTGGATATCGACTCCCATATGGCAGCAAGGCAACGTGACAGAACTTGGCACACTTTGCCCTGGTTCCTGAAGAAGGTCACTGCAGTTCCTATTTGTGCTACACATCAGTTTCAACTCTGTGGCTGCTGTTGCACAGATTTCTCATCAGATTCCGGCTGATGTTGTGTGTTTCTCATCATTTCATGAGTTACATTGGCTGGAGGTTGCGCTGTGTGCCCCAGGCGTCTATGTCCATGTTGGTGCCCTGGAAGCATTTGAGGAGAAGGTAGAAAGCAGCTGCGGAGAGCCAGTCACAACGGTGGAGTTTGTGAACCTTGTCAGGGAGTTAATCGAAGCAGGCCTTACTGGCCGACACTTGCAGGTATTGTGCCCTGAAAAGGCACCTTTGCAGCTGCACCATTGTGATGTGGGGCTCTCCCAGGTCAAGATGTCAAATTACATGCATGCAGGGGTAAAGTCCCCCTTTTGCTCACACAATTTGGGAGCTATAGGGGGAGCCCTGGGACAGCACAGAAAAAGTACACAGTTCGTCGCATCGAGTGTCAAAAGCTAGTGTCCAGTGATTTAGCAAAGTGTCCAAACTTCAAAAACCAACCCAGCCACCAAAAACAGAAGCGCAAGTGGAATGGCACGAATCCAGGTGTTAGTGTTGAAAGAAGAGATGTGCGGCATCGCCTGCCTGTCTGTTGTATGTGTTGTGATTGGAAACTTTCTGTGGTGGTACCATGGTGGTACTACATTAGTGCCAAGCGGTGCTCCATGCATGCATCAGCGACCTGGGCTTGATTTCCCTGCCAGCTTGGTGTATCCTGTGCTCACAAGAGAATTACCAGTTTGGGGAAACCAGAAGCGCTGAATGCAAAACTGCATACTGCTCATTCACCCATCATACATGGAGATCATTTGACGATCGCTTGGGCAACCCCTAGTAAATGCAATGTGGCAAGTTGGACTCAATGGGCAAAATAATGATATGGCCGCTTTTGTGTGCATGTCCTCTGTGTGTAGAGCACTCTCAGGCAACCAGACCTCCTGTAGCAGCTGTTGATTCCACCCATCAGCTTTGATTTTATCATTGTGTGTGCTGCCTGCTGACCTCAGATGTACGTTGTATTTATCATACAACACATTCTTCCAAGACACAAGCAGTGGGCGTACACTGGTGATGCCATCATGCACGATGTCACTGCAGGGATTTTGCACTGCATCCACTCTGCCTTTATGCAATTTGGCGCCGCATCGATTGCTGATGGTGGAAAAGCGGTGGAGCGTGTACTGGTGACGCTGTGTTCGAAAGGTAGCGCACTGTCGAATTTACAACCATGATCTCCTTCAGTGTTATTGTGAGTAGTCATATATGCATGCGCTCACCCCAATAAACCCTGCTGGGTCTGGAATCTTGCAGTCGACACTTCTGGAGGCAACAATCGAAAAGAAGTACTGTCTTCCTGTCTTCATTCTGAAGTCAAGTTATGAGGCCGGGGTTGTGCCTTGCAGGTGGTGCTGTTGACAGTTGTCATTTCGGGAACTCTCATCTGCCCACTATGTTATTTCCCCTCTTCTGTGTGCATCTTGCTTGTCGACATCTGTATTTTCGGATGTCACGCACACAATCTTTGCTTACAATTGCTGCTCTCCCAGGCTGTTGCAGGTGTTACTGAACACTATTCTTTGTTAGATCTCATTGCCAGCTATAATATAACCATAGGAACAGCACCACAGTGATTCTCTTTGTGCGCTATACATTTGTCACTCATCTCTCATTTCCTCTGTTCTCAGTCGCTTCACTGCTGTGCATCCCACTGATGGTGACAGCTCGCATTCCCGTTGCTTCTCTACAAGCATGCTGCTCTTTCCAGAGCCTCATGTCAACGTATAGTTAGGAAGTTCTTGTCTTGGCATCGAAATGGCCACTGCCAGAGAGCTGCAAGCTGGTAATCCTCACAGAAGGTTTTCTAGCGGACATCGGGTCTCTGCTCTGCGTGATTTCCAATCTCAGTTGCAGGCTACTGCATCATCTTCAAAACAGACGTTGCAGAGTTCTTGCCAAGTGGAGCGGTCACCATTATGTGACCTGTGTCATTGTTGTTGTAGAATTGTCACCTTGCTCTATCTTTCTGCTGTGCAGATGGAGCCCAGGCATTTATAAGTTGCAGTCTGCCACCCAGCATCGCAGACCTGGCAGGGCCGGTTGACTGCAAAATTGTGGAGAGTGCTGAGGCCGCAGCTGCACGGCTGCTCACCCTGCTCCCAGTAATATTAATTGTGGCAGCAGAGCGTGACGTGGCAGGTCCACTGGTGGAAGCCATCATTCAGGTATGAAATGAGGAGAAGGCCCCTCAACTAAGTGCACAGCAGTGGTATGGTGGGTTTTCGATCACTACAGCTCCATTTATGAAATTGCTTGTTGATCATGTTCTTGTTTGTGTGGCCAAGTTCCCATTGCCCATTCTTGCTAGTCCAAGTTTCAGATATGGGATGTCTGGGTTGGTTTTCCTGTGCAACACGCCAGTTGGGTGACATTGCTGTTGCATGGTGGTATGATGCTATGCTGGCCTCACAAGTGATAGATGATGGACTTGATATCCGCGATGAAAAAGAATGTTGCTCTATGCGAAATTAAGTTGTTTTCCCACAAGTATGAACTGGCGAAGTAGTGCTAATAGTGCAATTGGGCAAATGCGGTGCGTTGTAGCAAGCAACAGTTAACGATGTGTACAGTTCTTTGAGATTGATCTGGTTGAGTGACTCTCAAACATGCAGCGATTGGTACTAATCGGGTCTATTTCATGGTACGTGCTCAGCGTTGTGTGGAAATGTACCTGTCTGGCACTTCCACCCATCTGCCATCGTCCTCTCTGCCTTTGGAAGAAGTTGTGCCTGGTTGGCCGCAGCGAATTCCCTCTCACAATTTTATGCTACCCTTGTTGCACTGATAACTGCAGTCATTGTTGTCATGCCACTCACTGCTGCGATGGCATTTTATCATCGATGGCAGGGCCACCGTGGCTGGTGCAGGAGCAGCGCTCCCCTCCTCATGTCCTTCGTGAGCTACAACAGTGGCACAACCAATTGGCCATTGCTGTCATTGAGGTTCCTGTGTGCTCTGGCAAGCTCCGCTCAGCAGCTGGATGTGACCCAGATACTACCACCTTCAGCAGGTCAGCATGAAAGCACAGGATGTTCATATTTCAACCTAAATGTGCAACTTCACTGCCCATGCACATTCAGGTCAGTGACAGGCGGCAGTGAAGCAAAGTGGAAGGAGGGCTGGGTCTGATGTGAGGTGGTGTATGTTCCAGTTATTTTCAAGTGTGTGCGAGACCATGACTGGGTGTGTTAGAGCTGTCTTGCCTTCAGCTGCCGAGTTCCAACTGTTGTTGCACAGCCGCATCAAATTGTCAAACTGTTGTCATGTATCCAACTGCACTGCTGGGGGTCTGCTCAGCATGCTTAGTTGTGAAGCACCACAATTTGCGGCTGCAGATGGACCCAAGGCACGTGCTGCCCTACTGGCGTGTTTTGATTGTGAGGTGGCGATGAAAGACCCAGATGTGTTCATGGCCGCCTATGACTTTTTGGTCATTGCTGCTGAGCACCATCCCGGCTTGCTGGAACCGCTCCTGTTTCCATCGAAATTGGAGGTAGGGTAGCTCCTTGCTGCTGCAGGTTCCCGTGCTGCTCTCACAGATTTCTGAGCATTGCTTTTGCAACACAGAATGAAGCCTCACAACCTTTTTCAGAACAACGGATGCTCATTTGGTGACATGTTTCTTATTCATTGAAGCAATTGGCAGCTCTTGGGTGGCAGTGGTACTAGTTGAGCCATGGGACGATATAGCTTCGAACCCTCATAGAATTCTGCACAATCTGCACCAGCATGAGCTAAAGTTACTGAGCCATTCTTGCTGGGGAATGAGTTTCCAATTGCCGCATTCTCGACAGAGAAATTTCATCACAACAGTATTTGGCCTCAATTGAAAAGAAGGCATTTTTTCTGTGAAATGTATCTGACGTGAAGTTGTCATCGTGAGGTTGTTGTGCAACTGAAAATGGGGAAGGATGGATTGAGAGCTTGGGCAATGGCTTCTGCCCGCAAATGCGATGCAGCCCAGAAGCACAAACTCTCCGAGCAATTCAGCGTCCTCAACGTGTGTTGGTCAAACGCGACTGCCTTGTTGTTAGATCATTGTCAATTGTGGTGTTGTGAGCCTGTAGGATGCAGCCGTGGGTGCACAGCTCCAGGAGCAAAGTGCACTGGACCGTTTGTGGGGCGTTCTCCAGAAGACCAGGGACTTGCTGGAGAGTAATCCCCAGTCGCTGTACAGCTGCATCAGTGCTGTGCGAGGCTTGTGGTGGTGCCAAGAGCTGGCACCGCAGCCGGCGATGCTGCTGCGCCAGCAGGATGGCTTCTGGCGACACATCACAGAGTGCTTCAGAAGCGATGAACCTAAGAGCAAGGAGGAGCACAGGCAAACATGGCTGCAGGCTGCAGAGGCAGCTGCTCTGCAGGTATGCACACTTGGCAAATGTGTCCATGGGCCAGAACGCACAAGGATCAGCCATCCTGAGTTTACTATTCTGAAATGCGAAGTCACTGTCGCCTCTTTCGCATGGTGCTGTAGTGAACTGCGATGATTGGCGCCCTTGTTGTGTGCCTGATTTCAAAACATGGACAGGACAGGCATGTGTGATGGAAACACACAGGACTCTGTGCATCCCTGGTAATAGTGATGCTGGTTCACATTACTATGAATACATGTGTGTGCAGCTCTGCATATCTGAACCAGATGAATTGAACGCATTCCTTTGAGTATGCGCATCTTTGGAACTTCTTGCTGCAGATCATGACCATGGAAGCCAGCTCCAGTGTCCCAGCAAATGGCAGTGGTCAGCCCGATTCTGGACCCCAACAGGGCGTTTGGGTTGAACTGCGAGAATGGTTCAGCAATCGGGGGACATTCCTGCGGACACTGCTGTCAAAATATGGCAAGTGCGAAGCAGATCCTGAAGCAGTGGTGGAGGCAACATGGCTGGCAGAGGTTTCTGCCATAAAGATCCTGATGTCTGCCGCCAAGTACCATCACAGGGCAGGCCAACACCTGGACAATGCCCTAATCATTGTTCTGATTAAGGTGCATCCAGAAGTTGACCTTTGTTGCTGGATGAATGGAACTGCATTGAGCTGGGATGTCACTCCCACTCTGCATGAGAGCAACAGAAGAGCCACAAATGGCAGGCTGTATACTTCGCTCATTGTTGCATCAATCAGACGAATGTATTGTATGTGTTCATCCATCGCATCAAAACAGTCCAAGTCAGGGGGGGCACAGTGTACTTCCTGGATTGCAATATTCGTTTTTGAACACCAAAACATTCTCTTGGATTATCTCTGAGGCCTCACCAGCAGTTCAGTATGAAAGATTTGTAGATATTCTCCAAAGACACTGCATCAGGATCATGCAACACTGATAACAGGCATTGCCATTGTGGCATCAATACCCTCTGACACTGTTGGTGGCTTCTTGTTGGGATGTTCTATATAACAGTTGTCTTGTGCACCATGTTGATTGGATTTTCCTCATGTTCCAGCATCAGGAGAGATAATGTCAGAATCGTGTACCCCAGAGGTGCATCTTGACCTGCATCATTGCGTACAGAGGAAAGGATCCTTGTGAAGGGGGAAATCATGAATTGCTTTTGTCATGCTTTATGTCGTTCAGGCGGCAGCGCCTCTCCTTGCGTCATGTGCATCCGATGCGGACAGATTGCAAAGATTAGCATCCGAATTCGACAAGACCACAAAAAGAAAGCGTGCCGCTACAAAAGGACCAGTAGAAGACAAGAGTGGCAGCTTGTCTGAACTCACACTTGGAAAAGACCTCATCTTGGCAATCAAGGAAATGATGGCTGAGTTGCCTGACTTTTCGTCTGTCGCTTTGACTGTCAAGCACACCAACATCAACCAGGATAGGGTGGCTTGCGTCATACCAGACCTTGCTCATGGCGAGAGCGAGCATGTGGCAGATCTTGCTGCCATCCTGGAGCATCTAAGGTGGGCAGCAGGGCGTGCATCCGACTGGGCTTGTGATGACAACACCATTTTCCTTCTTTTAAGCAAGTGCCTTGTCCAAGAAACTGGTGCAGCAACTCTGGAAATCATCTAAACTCCCCCATGTTCCCATTATGGACAATGTACACACTGCCATGCTGCCGGAAGTGTGATTCTTTCCAAATTATCCATGGGAAAACAGATGGTATGGGTGTCCAGGAGTCACAGTCAAACAGACATTCGAACCCTTGCTGACATGGTGGCAGCGGCCTTTCTGCAATGACTTGGAGGTGGACAAATGATTGTTGAAAATGGAAAAGTCAGCATAAATGAAAATGAACCTTGAGGTGTGACTCACTTGCCCAAGGCAAAGAAGGTACTTGGTGCTCAAAACTGTGCATGAAATGTGAAATAAATTGCAGCGTTGAGGTGGAGGCTATGCTTGACACACAGAGAGATTGTTTGATCCTGTTTCATCCGCAGATGTGGCATGCACTGAACAGGATGTTGTGTGGGCCTGTCAGTTCTGATGCATTCCAAGTTCTTTGGCCCAATGTGTCACCAGTAGGACCCATCCACTCTCCGGAGCCTGATTGTGTTGCTGTTTGACTTCAAATGGCAGAGTTCATTGTCAAGGTTTGACATAAGTAATGCATGGCCTCAAGTGGGAGGTTATACATTTGTGTTATGACGGAAGTTATAGGCTCCTGCGCTAAGCATTGACATGTGCAAATCGTCCCCTTTGTAGCCGGGCTGCAGAACAGATTTGCTGTGGTTGTGTGTGCCCATACATAATCTTGAATCTCCACAAGGGATGGAAGCCGAGTGCACCATGGGAAGGCCGTTTTCCATGCACTGAAGGGCGCTGTGTCTGCAGCACTACCGAACTTCGCCAGGGCCTCAGGTTGCAGGCACTGGATGCCCTGTGCCTGCTCATTTCCAGGGGCGTTCAGACGAACCACGTCCAGACATGCATGACGCTCCCCAACTGCATTGACCTGCTGGAGGACGTGGCTGACCTGCTGCGTCCCTGCTTAAAGATGGCCACACATGACCTTGAACTGGTTCTGCCAAAGACGCCAGCCCAGGTGGCCGGCCCCGAAGGCACTCTGCTGCACTCCATTCTGGACCACATCTCGGCCCTCTCAACCTTGTTGATGGACATGGTGGGCTGGTGCAGCGACGGGGCGACGACGGACTGGGTGGCTGAGAGGAGGGAGATGTCTCCCAGCCCATCCCCGATGGGCAGGCCCCGCCTCAGTGGCGTTGGTGGGGCTGGCAGGCAATCTGGTTGGGGGGCTCCAGGGCCGCTGGAGGCGGATGTGTGTTTAAAGCTGCTGCGGACGCTGGACACCTGGATTCAGAGCACCCACTTCCTTCAGGGTCTCAGAGGCCTTGACACCCAGACCAGCGACCGAGCAGAGGAGATCACAGGTGCGACTCTGTGTTGCAGGTTTGGTGTTTGGGATGCACTGTCAGCATGTGGTGGCTTTATCCTGGCATCTAGATGCAAATGCTGTGGAGTGTCCTGTGCAGTCAGTGAATCCTGTCAGTGGAATGCACCTGTCTGCATTGTGCACTGACATAGGCACATAGATGCATCGAACAATAGTAACACCTGGAATAGTTAGTGTCTGTTTGTTTGAGGAAACAAGGGCGTCTTCAGCACTGTGTGCACTTTGTTCTGCCCGCAAGCGCTCTGTTTGGCTGACTTCCCACTTGCAGCACTTGATAAATGCACTGGCATCCCATTTTCGTGAACCTGTGGCCACTGCACCAACACCCTTGTGAACTTTGTTGCCATCCACAGCAAACGTGCTGGGCACGCTGCTTGCGGTTGTCTGCAGCCTGCAGGCAACGTCCTCCAATGCAGACCCACCTCCCAGCTCCTCCCTGACCCCCCTGCCATCCCGAAGCGCAGGGGAATTGGAGCAGCTGGCCACAGATCTGCTCCCCAGCATCTGTGCCCTGTGCCACGAGGGCATTCACGGTCGAAGACTGGTGGGTGGTGCTGCTCTGTCCCTGCTGTCCATCTTCTTGTGCCGCAACTTTGCCGGAGAGGATGGTGTGCAGCTGGTGTTCAAGCACCTGGAGATGGCAGGGCTGCTGCGAGAGGCGGCACAACTGCTAAGGCCACACCAGCTTGAGGAGGATGAGGGGGGCGTTGCCAATGGAAACGTGGTGAGCAGCTGCATTGCATTAGTGCGAGAGACACAAACCCAAGCCAGCGTTGGCATCGCAAGTGCCAATGACATTGCCATTTGTTTTGATGCCAAGATATGAAATGCGATGCACCATTCTGGAATCAAGGAAAAGGAAAGATATCATTGTACAGCCGCATGTTGTCATTATAGTGAGGATGCCTGTACTTCTTTTCTGAATTTTCGCAGTACTATTTTGGAGGCAGTATGTGAGGTGTCAAGATCATGCCCATTGTTTTTGGCGGGGTACGGGATTGTTTGGGTGATGAGGCAGCCTGAATCAAAACAACGTTCCCCTGAAGCCAGCAAACAGTTGCTCTTGATCGGATTCTGGCGGATCAAAGTTAGATTCAGAAAGCTAAAGCGTGATGAACTCAGAACATACTCCTTTACGCCTGAAACTGTTTGACTGGCATTGTCCATATTCCCTGCAACAGGCATGGCCATGGAGTTTTGCCCTCCTCCATCTTTCCACTATCCTGGCACGTGGCCATGAAACAGCAAAGCTGCTGCTGACCCCAGCCTCCTGCACTGCACTTCTGGATTACGCAAGGGAGCTGTTAGATCGATGCAACAACACAGATGAACTGGAAGGTCAACCCAATGGCAGGGATGCCAGTGCCAATGGGCACCACAAAATGCCTGTGGACACCTTGGACCCAGGTGTCACCACTGCTCCCATGCCCCGTGCATACTCACGTGAGCACCATCGGCGTGTTGCGCATCGCCAGTGGTGCATGATGCTGCGTATTGTCGGAACACTTGTGTGGGAGCATGGTTCCAATAATGAGGTGCGGAGTGTTGCTTTGTGCATTCTCTTGCTTTGAAGCAGAACACCTCAACGGCAAGGAGAGACGAATGGGCCACAAGAAGTTCTGCCTTCACTGCCTGCTGTTTTCTGTGAGCTGTGCGTAGTCCTGTTGCCTGCAGGGTTAGTGGTCCATGGTCACATCCTCTCATGGAATTTCCCATAATGGGTATTGCGATTGGTTTTTCTCTGTAGATTTGGAGGTAACTGTAGAATAACCTGTGCATTTTTATGTCATTTGTGGAGCACACAGTTCAGGGGATTAGGCCTTTGCACGTACACCAGCACACCTTGTGGAGCTTGCACAGCCAGCATGTCTGTGTTTTGTTTGTTATCTGTTGCCATGTCGTGTCAAATGTTGATTGTTGACATGGACTGTTGGGGACCCAATAGCACACTTAACGTTTTTCTGCCATGTTGGACCTGGCATCTATTTAGCAAGCATACTCTTGCCAGTGTTATGTTTTGGAGAATAATTTGAGCTGTGTGAATGATTGTGACATAGATTGTGCACTTTTATGTTACCAAACTCTCATTGGTGAATTCCACAGAACTGCATGCTGCAATGTGCAGTCATACGTTCCCCACTACGTGGCTATTGTGCTTCCCTAGTGAACATGGTGTTTGGGAGAATGTCGAATTCAAGCAGGTGCAGTTGCAGGTCGCCTGAGCAACTGGTTTGTGATGCAGGCACAGGACCTGGGCATCAACTTCCTGGGATTGGGCGAACGGATCCTCCTTGAAGCCCTGCAGCCACCTCTGGGCCATCACAAGGATCCCCTGACTTTGGCCTGGCTGCTGGAGGTGCAGCACACGACCTTCATGCTATGCCAAATTTCCCACCTCCTTGTTGGCCGGCAGTGGATCCTCCCAACATCCCTCAAAAACTTCAGGGAGGCTGCTGCGAGCTTCGTGGGATATGCGGCGTCCCCCACCCGCATGAATGGCTTCTCTGTGGCGTGCCCCCCAGTGTCGGTGGAGGAGGGGAGGTCAAAGTCGCGTACCCCGCCGGGGGACCTGTCAGGCCCTGAGGGGTGGTTTAGGGTGTGCCTGGAAGGGGCGGAGACAGGCACTGGGACAGCCCAGGTGGGCGAGGCGGTCAGCAGCCTGGGGCCAGGTGGGGGTGGCAGCCAGGCCCTCGTGCTGCACCAGGGGAGGCAGGAGGGGAATGGAGGGCCAAGGGTGGCGCTGTCAGAATATGCATGGGAGGTGGGAATTGAATTTTTCCGATTGCATTTGTCTCGTGTTGCAGAGCTGGGCCGTATCATCATTCTTGATTATGAGAGGTGCATGCAACTCCCCAGAACAGTGTTTGTCTCCAACTCCGAGGGAATCGAGAGCCAATAAAAAGGGCCCAACTTCCCATAAAGGAATTTTTGGGGAAGGCAGCCAGAGAAGCCAGTCCTGCATCTGCAGTGGCACTTCCCATACCATCCTTGTGGTGATTTGTGGCGTCTGTGCGTGTGACAGTGCACCTGTATGACCTGGACAGACTGAATCAGCAGATGTGGGTGAATTGGGCTCAACGGACAGGTCAGAAAATCCGCAAGCATTCTGCTATTCAATTATAGGTTGAGTGTCATGCACGTATTGCAGATGATGTACGACCAAGTTGTGTACAAAGTTGTGCAGATTCGAAGTATGGCAAATTTCAATGCGATGCTGGAATGGCTGATACCCTAAGCTATTGCCTTATCTGCTGCTTGCAATTCGGCAGTTCAGCTCTGCTGGGCATCCAGTCCACACGTGCTACACTCCTCTACCACTTTTTGCAAATCCTATCCCCTGAATTGCAGCTTGTGTACATGTTCCAACAGCTTCGACTTTGGTTTATCAATTGCTTGATGGTACCGACAACCTTGGGCGTACATTTCCCTGAGTTCCCACAGGCAACTATCCAACCGTGCTTTTGTTGTGTCAGCTTGGGTCCACGATGCACACTGCCACACTCAATGCACTCATGTTTCTCCGGTTGTCGTTGCCTGCTGTGGGCCCCTGCGAGGCAGACAAGCTGGGAGGCACTTGGCCCAGCCGGCACTCACTGCTTGCCCTAAGAGATCAGTGCCTGGCGCTGGCGCACTCTCTGAGTGCCGATGACCCTGCCGAAGATCCATCCAATGAAATGAAATGGAGAGAGCTCGCAGGCAAGGCCCCTACTCATTGCTGTGGGCTGCTGCAGACTGCGGTGTCTGTTCATTGCACTGCAGTTGGCAACCAATGACAGGAACCTGTGTCATACGTTGTTGTACGGAAAGGAACCCGGTCGCTGAGACGTGAGTGCACATTGCATGACGTGTTTTCCAGCTGTGAGAAGGCAGTCTTGGGCACAACCTTGTTGTTGCAATTTGCAAGCGATGACGGATGCTGGCGATGTGGATCGAACTTCTGGCTGCCGTCAATGTCGGAGGGCAGTGTGCAAGCGCACCCCGCAGAGCGCTGAGTTTTCCTTGCACGAGGACGTGTTCCAGCACGCTGAACACGCAATGTGCTTTCCTTGAGTGGCGACGCAAAGCCAACGTACAATACAGTTTGTAGACAATAGCGACTGTCGTCCCAGTCGAGGCCACCCTGCTTCGAGTTTGATTCAAGAAAGCCGGGGGATTTGATTGCATTCAAACACAAGCAGGTGCAGATTGGGGTGCGATTCGAGTTGGTGGGACTGTTCTTGGTTGGTGACGTTCTTGTTCTGCGCAGGGGTTGTGAGTCGGACCATTGCCTTGGCGGAGGGCTTCTTGGACATGTTTCAGTATCAGCCGAAGCCGCTGGAGAGGAAGCGGGTTAGGGAGAGGACAGTGGGGTTGGAGAGGTTGCTTACTCCCAGCTAGCCGTGTACACAACAAAGTTGTCGCGTGGGCGTATGGCTCAAGGATGGCTTGTGAAGGGTATGGATGCTCCTTGCTTGCGATCTGTTCTCCTGGCAGATGGTCTGAAATTGCAGCTAGAATTCCCGCCACGTGGGCAGTGGGCCGTGTCCTTGCTGCTGCAAGGCCAACAACACCGTGGCTCAGGGCATCATGCCATGCATCCTTAAGGATGCGCAAGGTCGTTGCCAACTTTATGCCAACACAGCAACAAGCTTGTTGCTAGTTTGTACACATTGAAAATATTTAGTTATAGGACATGTATGGTGTTGCTTGTCTGTCTGGTTGGCATCGAAGTTGAGCCGTCGCCCAACAAACTCGAGTGGGGCCGGAATCGCAATCAAAGTAATGCGCAAGGCCCTGAAACAGTCCGCGTTTGGATGGCGATGCATTGGGAACCCAGCCTACTGCCCCCAGGCGCTCCTAGGTTTGGCCTCAGCGACTGGATAACGCCAGTCAGCAACGCGGCTCGTCCAGTTGTGAGCCAATTCATCGTCACTGGAGATGCCAGAATGCAAGTTCATTTGGTTCATTTGCAGGTGCCAAATGCAGGGCGAAAACAAGGGGATATTAGCTGGCAATTCAGAGGAGGAAAAGGAGGGTCTTTGGCTGATGTCGATGTCTGTGCTGATGCTGAATTTTAGCGCTGGAGGTCCCTGCCCCTCCTTCGCGCCTGTTGGAGGTCAAGCGCGGCAAGATCGACGTGGTGCCACTTCTGAGGAATTCTCCAGGCGGTGAGTCACGCTCAGATGCCAAATCAGCATTCTGCTGGCTGCAGGTAAGGATACTGTACTCTACAATCAATGCGCTGTTGGCAACTGGACTGGTCATGCGGATCGCGAAGAAGAGTGAACCCACAGTCTTTCGCCACATCCCTTGATGGGCTTCCTTCGTCTCTACCAGTGGCGACGGATGAATTGCAGCTCTCGTGGGGTCAAAGGGCTATGCCAACGCTGCCAGCTCTGCTAAAACCTGCAAGCTTGTCCCAGGGCACGGTAGCTTGGATTTTGGGTGATGGACACCTAAACTATTTTCAAGTTGACTTGCTTACCAATCGTCAGCAAGGAGCTTCCAGCACCAACTGGACGTCGCCCTAACTGACTCGCATGCGGAGGCACAGGGGACATTGCCTCTGTCACTCGTCCATGGATACCTGGAAGGGTAGTACCTTACAGGCAGTCCTCTCATCCATTGCTCTTGAAATGGGGAACCAACACGTTAGTGGTGGCATATTGCGGGACCTGAGGATCCTAAAGTGAGCCATCCAGCACTAAGCAAGAAAAATGTCAGAAAATCGGTGAGAGGCAGTGCCAGGACACACGTACCCGCACGCCCTTATCCTGCATTCTGTGGGTTTGGGCAAGCGTGGCATTCGCGTTTGGACAATCTGTGTGCAGGCCTGTGCACGACATTGCCTTGCAGGGACAGGGGCTGTGTTGTTCCCCTTGAGAGCAAACGTATTCCAAGGATTACACCTACACGCTACTGTGTTGAAACCCAGGTCTCCCGTTGGCCACAGGCCATGGCCGCCTTCACAAGTCCACAATCAGCACACCACATATCAGCCGCTGTCGGGTTCAACGAAGGGGGCCAGTCACGCGCCAGCGTCGCTATGAACAGAATCCAAATCCATACGTGGGTACACAATCCACCAAAGCAGACCGAAGCCCATATCATGCACCTCCAAATCATTTGTTGGCTGCCGCAGGCAGTGAGCCCATCCCATCGGCTTGGCCACCGCCACAGGCACAGTGCCCGAGCTTAGCCTGGTCCTCCTCGCCCAGGTACCCAAACGCTGGCAGGCAGCTGCCTCCCAATCCTGAACCTCTCCACAAACTTCTGCACTATCTCCGCCACCTTCTCCGAGTTGTCCTCCTGCACCGCATGGCCCGAGCTGGGCAGCACGGCCATCTGGAACCGCCCCTGCATCTGGCCGATCGTCAGTTCCCGGTCCAGCCTGTCGGTTCCTACAAGGGCCAAGAGCTTGGGTGCCTTCACGGCCAGGAACAGCTCGCTCAGGCCGGTGAACCAGCCCCTCCAGTGTGCCTCGCTCTCCCACAGCGGGGTCCGCCAGTGCCAGGAACCGCCCTCTGGCCCCTGTTGCAGCATGCTGGGCACAGACACGGAGGCAGCCTCCTCGCTGCGGGACATGTGGCTGCACAGCGCCCAGTCCACGGCCTCTCGCAGGGAGTCGAACTCCTTGGGGCGCTTGTGGAGCACGCTCATCATGTGAGGGAGAGAGGCTGCAGGGCCAAAGGCACAGGAACAACCTTGGAACGGCGTTGGAATATGGTGAAAGGGCGCTCTGTTCGCAAGGGCCGAGCCCCACACGGACATCAAGAACCCCAGTCATCTGGATGCTCATGCACATTTCTTGACGTATCCTGGAAACATGTGAGTACACACGTGCAGCTGTATTCAAAAAATGATATGGATGCACCAACAACAGCATCAGCACACTGTGCTCTGTGGCCCCTGGGCACAAGGCAAAACTTGCGAACGTTTGGAAAAACCCATCCCAGTCATATGCTCTTGATTGGGCTTACACCGCCTTGCAACTCACCCAGAGCAGTTCCCTCCACAACATCAATCACGATGAGGCCCTGCAGCCCTGTGATTTTACCCGTTGCTCCTGTCCTGATGGCCATGGCCCCACCCAGGCTGTGCCCCAACAGTACCGTGGAAAAGTGTGACTCCTCCTTGCACAGGGCTTTCCACAGGGCTATGACATCAGCGCAGAGGGTCTGCAGAAACCAATGTGACGATCAGAACAATGAACATTCTGGCACCAGCAAATACATGACTGGCAGATGTTGTGGGCCACAATACTCCAGTGGGAGACCAGGTGGCCATGCTGGACTCTGAAATAGGAGACATGTGCTTGGCTGAGTGTTAATTGTCTTGGAGAACCATAGTTTGACACCAAATAGTGTCAAGCCACCATTCGATGCGTTGTGGACCCACAACACAGCTGCAATATCCAGATGCCAGCCAATTATGGGCACACTGCAGTTCACTAGTATCCACAACTGAAAGGATAGACAGCTTGCAGGGCATGGTGGCAACATGTGAACGACAGCCATCGAACCCAGTCACTATTGCCACAGACAGCTTTTTGATGGAGAACAAACCTCAGCAGATAGGTCTTCGTCATCATTTGTCTTGGTTAAGCCGTGTCCTCGGAGGTCCATTGCGACAATGCGACAACTGCAAGGTCCAAACACGCCCACCATTGATTGCACAAAGATACCCGATTTTGAAGAACACATCAACCAACAAGCAGCCTGCTCACGGCAGCCACTTCACACAAACAGCACACTAACCAAAGCAGAAGTTCTGGCTTCCAGCCGATGCAGGTTTGCGGCGGGACACTGTGAGTGAGGCCGGGCAAGAACTGCCACGAGTGCCACGAAACTACGGGACTGGCCCACATTGGCCGCAGTCAATCTCGCAGGTCAAATCTCGCGGCGCGTTCGCCTTCTCGTATGGAATTACTCCTCCGCACTCACGTGTCCTTTACCCTCGGAGCCAGCAGCGACCACGTCAATCCCGTGTAGCCACCGCCGTGCAAGCACAGCAGCAGGGGGCCCCCGGTGCCCGCAGTGTAGATGTGGAAGGTCGCATCCCTGCGCACGACGCCAACGACAGCGCTTTGGGAACGCACACCTTGGCCGCGAACAGCACCCACCGGGCGAAGGCGCTTCACACCGCCTGAATTCGATGCGAACGCAAGCAGCCAGGATTTTAGCGCCACGCGCAGCGGGACCATCCTCACCGCCCCTGTGGAGCTCCCGTGCCTTCGGCTCAAGGCAACACACCTACCGAGCGTCGAAGTGGCGCCGAGCGCCGGGCCCCGAATCGCATCCGTACAGCAACCACCTCGTGCGCGATCCCGCCAACCCTCCCATCCCCGCCCGCCGGAACGCCGATCAGCGCCGACACCGCCCTCCGCATCCAATCGGCCATCGCGCCCACGCTCGCCACGCCGCGCGAGCCCCGGGCGGCGCCGATCCGATCCCCCTCTCCCAACCTCCGCGCCCCGCCCTCCCCTTCGGTCGCGTGCTCATCATTCCACACCGGGGACCCCCCATCACCTTCTCGTGCCATGAAAAAGAGTCCCGCACACGCCAGCTCGGGGGGGGACCCACTTTGTACAGCCTGTTTCTCGTTCATTTTGCAACAAATCTCGCTTTCTCTTTGCAACAAGTCTGCCCGGCCTCCCGCCCACCCTGGCGTCGCGCTTCCCGGCCGCGCCAAGGGCGATGGACTAACCCGCTGGCGGCTTGGGCCCCCGGGCCACCGACCTCTCCTCCACTCGCACGTCTCTGCTGGCCTCCCAGTACCGCTCCCATCCCAACGGCACCCCGAACTTGTGCCGGCTGCGCGTCCGCGGGCTCTTCACGAACTCAGGGCCGCTCTCCTCGTCCGGGATCGTCATCAGCGGCCCCAGGCGGCTGCCCAGGCCCTCGCCCGCCTCCTGGGCCTCCGGCAGTGGCGGCAGGTCGGGCATGGCCGGCGGGGGGCCCTCGGGTCCCTGTGGCATGCCACGCTAAGCTGTGGGCCGGGCAGCCAGAAACCCGCAGGGGGACCTCTTGACGGGGGGAGAGGCGTACCGTAGGGGGGCCGTAGCTGGACTCCCATAAGGCAGTCGGGTGTGATTTTGGGACTTAGTGTGGGGAGCGTCATTTGCCACGCAGGCAGGGTCGAGGGGTGGCGACCCCCGAACGTAGGCTCCAGTCCGCGCCAACGGTTGACAGCCGGGAAAAGGGGCACAAAGTTTATGTCCCTTGTGTCCAGTCCGTTCACCAATGTCCTTCGTGCAATTCCCAATGCCTCATCACTTCCTTATGCATCCAACTGTTAATAATACTCAATCAGTGCTGGCTACAATAGTGCGGCATGAATTTGTCGCTGTGTCTTTTCTGTGATTTTTAATTCTTGTTTTGCCAATGAGGCTGATGTGGATCAGTGGTCATAGCAAGGCTAGCATTGTGCTGAGTGGTCGGCGAATGCACTGTGTCGAATTCAATGTGCTTAGTGTCACTTTGACGGGAGTGGGGGAAGAGCCCAGACCAAGCCAGGCTTATGACATTGAGAGATTACATCATGGCCACCAAATCGACATAAGTTGAGAGCAGGCCCAAGCTGATGTTGCATACCAACCAACAAGGCATTAATTGTTTCAAAAGCCTCACTCAAGCATTCAATCCTAGAGGAGACCACAGAGCTGCCTTAGCTGACAGTCTCAGGTATTGTGTTGGTCATTGTCATGGCTTCCAGCTTCTCATTTTTCAAACTTCTACAATCGCTGTGACTCTGGCTGTTTGCCCTTCTACAAGATATACTGATATTGCAACGCTATTTGGCAATGTGGTTGTTTCATTCTTGTATCAACAATAGGATTGAATCTGGAAGGGGAGGGGGAGTGATACAAAAAGTCTGTGGGTGTGGGGTTCCTGCCCTCTGTGAGCCGCGGACCCACCTCGCCGGGCACCTAGGTCCTTACAGGGCACCTAGGCGGGACCACCCCTCCTACTCCCGTATCCTAATATGGATAAAGGTTACAGTGGGTGAGGAATAGTACGTGCCTTGGGCAGGGCGTCCCCCACACCAAGGGCCATTAGTAGGACGCCTCCCACATCAGGCTGGTGCGCGTAACATTCGTCCCCCTCAGGGAGAGGGGCGTCCTCGTCCCAGTATAAGTGGATACGGGAGCAGAAACATTGTATGTATGTTGGTGGAACTGGCTGTGCGATTTGCCACATGCCCAGTTAACAAAACACAACACACAAAACAGTTTTTGATGAAGAGAAAGAGTGGTTGTTTTACATGACCGTCCCGGCCTTCACAACCCTCATTAAAACTCTTCCTCAGCCAAGTGGCTGGAAATGTTTGACCTCCCGGCCTTTCATCGGCGACCACAATACCGAGTACCACCAGCAGCCCACGCCGGTACAGACCGGCCCGGTGCGGCACCCCGCCGTCGCCCACGTCCGCGTGCACGCTCAGGCGCACGGGGAAATGGCACGTAGGGGTCGGCGGTCTCCAACCTCTCCCCGTTGAGGATCGCAACGGACATGGCGTTCATGTGTTCAAACTGCGACCTTGCACGGGGGGCAGTATACCCAGTGTTTTTCTGGGCCCAGCGCAAGAGAACCTGTCAAAAGCATAAGCACACATGAGCATGTTTCAGTATGTACATCCCGTACTTCATGCAGTTTGCATTCACATCACAGGTGTTCTGCCATTTTCAAATGCTTGAACCAATTCCTGTGCATTTGCAACTGACTTTGCTGATTCCCAGCTGTTATGCTCATGTCCATATCCCAGCCATTTGACAAGGTACTCAACATAGTTTTTGCGTCTCCCACGCTTTTAATCCTTTTGTCAAGGATACGTTCAACTTCATACTCCAGTTCACCTTCGATCTCGATAGGTACTGGGGGTGGCTGTACTCTGCCACTTGCCTTATAAGGCTTAATCTTCGATACATGAAATACCGGATGTATCCTATGCATGCTTTCCGGGAGTTCTAGTCGATATGCGACAGAACCTATCCGGTCGAGGATGGTGAAGGGCCCAATCCACCTCGGTAATAGTTTTCGAGTCCCAGGGTGTTTGAGAGTAATATGCTGTGTCTAAAGGAGGACGTCATCTCCTTTACTAAACGACACCTCTCTTCGATGGCGGTCAGCATGCTTTGACTGCCTATCTCGTGCTTTCTCTAAGCACGCCCTGGCCTCTTTCAGCGCTGATTGGACACGGTGATCAAATCGTGTCACTGCTGGTAATCCCTCCACGAGGGGTGTACCAGACTGCCTCAAATAAGGCTGCTGCGCCCTTTCAATGGCCACTGCCAAGCCGCTGGCATTCGGATTGTCATAGCCCTTTAATGGCTTCCGAATTTGCACACCAAGAGCTAAGGGACTCTTTGGGTGCCTCCCGTAATTCAGATAGAACGGGGTTTCTTGGGTGGAACTGTTTTTCGAGTTGTTCATTGCAAACTCGGCCATGGCTAACAGTTCATCCCACGCGTCATGGTCAGAACGCGTATAACTGCGTAAGTAATCCTCCAGAACCCGATTCATGACTTCGGTCTGGCCATCCGTCTGCGGATGGTACGCAGTGCTCATGTTGAGCTGGATCTTCCACCTCTCGGCCAGGTACCGGTAAAACCTGGAAGTGAACCGAACGTCTCTGTCGGACACTATCTGAGAGGGGAGGCCGTGGTGCCTTATCACATTCTGCACCAACAGGTCAGCTGCTCCTTCTGCGGAGAGCTCGGTGGTCGTAGCCGCAAGGCGGACCATTTTGGTCAGTCTATCGACGAACACGACGATAGCATCATGACCTCCCTTAGTTTTTGGCAGTTGTGTAATGAAGTCCATGGACAACTCTGTCCATGGCTCCTCAGGAATGCCCAGTGGCTGTAATAAGCCTGGGGTCTTATGACGAGGGTACTTAACCCGTTGACAAACCAGGCAAGTATCGACGTACTGGTGTACTTCTCGTCGCATTCCTGGCCACCAGTAATGCCGCTGGACCAAGTCCAGGGTCTTGGCTTGACCAAAGTGCCCAGCACTTGGATGGTCATGAGCCAACTGGCAGATCTCAGTCCGCAGACTGGGAGACTCAGGGATATACACCTGAGTGTCTCGCAGCCACAACCCGTCTGTACAGCGCATGTCTTGCTGCTGTCTAACAGACGCAAGCTGGGGATCCTCGCCATAGGCCTGACGGATCCTGGAGGCTAGATCTTTGGCCTCTACCGTTTCAGTTGCCTCTTTTTGGCTGCCCCGCTTATGCTTTACTCTTAAGCCACATACAACCAGTTGACTTTTCCTCTTAGCCTCCTGCTCATCGGGCGATGGAGGAATGCGAGAGAGTGGATCAGCCACATTCTTTCGCCCTGGGCGGTATTCCCAGTCAAAGTCAAACTGTTGTAAGATTTCTGACCACCTGGCCTGTCTGCGGCTCAGTTGTGGTTGTGACTTAAGGTAGGTCAACGGACAGTGGTCCGTTACCAGTTTGAAGCATGTTCCTTCGAGGTAACATCTCCACAACTGGACAGCATGGACCGAAGCTAAAGCTTCCTGGTCTGTCACGCTGTAGTTCAACTCCGCTGGGAGGAACTTTCGACTCGCATAACAAATAGGGTGATTGTCCTGCATCAGGACCGCCCCCACAGCAGTTTGTGAGGCATCGGCGATGACCTCAAATGGTCTCTCAGGATCTGGCATTTTGAGCAAAGGAGCCGTGGTCAAACACTTCTTGATGTGCTCAAATGTTGACTGACATTTCGACGTCCACTCCCACTTGCCATTCTGTTTGGTCAAGTCTGTCAAGGGAGTCGCCATTTTCGAATAGCCCTGAATGAACTTTCGAAAGTAATTTGCCAGTCCGAGGAACTGCTGTACGTGCTTCACGCACTGAGGTACAGGACAGTTCTTCACCTTTTCAATCCCTTCGGGATCTGGGCGAATTCCTTCTTGAGACACGATGTGTCCCAGGTAGGAGATCTCCTCCTTATTGAATTGGCACTTGTGCATTCGACAGTATAACTTTTGCTGTCGTAACACTTCTAACACCTGCCGAAGGTGTTGTATGTGTTCTTCAGCAGTTCGGCTAAACACTAAGATATCGTCCAAGTAAACTAGGACGTGTTTGCCAAGTTGATCACCAAATATATGGTGCATCGTCTGCTGGAATATCGCAGGGGCATTCGCAAGTCCAAAGGGAAGTACTTTGAACTCGTACAAGCCCAATGGCGTAACAAACGCCGTTTTGGCACAATCTGCCTTATCGATCCGTAATTGGTAGTACTCTTGCTGCAAGTCAATAGCCGAGAACACCTTGGCTCCTTGCAGTTGATCCAATAGGGTATCTATTCTCGGGATCGGCCACTTATTTTTGATAGTGGCTTTGTTCAATGCCCGGTAATCAATACACATTCGGAGGCTGCCATCTGGCTTAGGAACGAAAAGCACAGGGGCCCCAAAGGGACTACTGCTTTCCGTAATTAGACCTTTCCTCAACAGGTAATCCACCTGTGATCGGATCTCCTCCATTTCCTTCGGGCTGTACCGGAAGGCTGGTCGCTTAACCGGTTTGGTCCCTTCCTCCAATGGGATAGTTAATGACACTCCTCTGTCTGGAGGTAATCCCTCAGGAAGTTCATCAGGGAACAGATCTTTATACTCCTCCAAGAGGGCTGTGATCTGTGCTGGTGGAACAGCATAAGTGGTGGTCTCCCGACCTGATGTGGCCAAAGGGCCTGGTGCGTCCCCCTCAGGGAGGTCGCCGACCCGGCGAACCAAAACCAAGCGCAATGGAGAACCACGTTGGTAGGCTCGACGAGCAAAACCCAGCGAACACAAATGACCCAACCGGCGGGCCGGTAAGGAAGGAGAAACAGTGGAACGGGGAGTACTACGAAGAGTAATCTCACGCCCACGAGAAACGACACGGATTTGACCACGACGATAATCAATGACACCGGCATGCTCATAGAGCCAATTGTCGCCGAGGATAATGTCATAGTCG